TAGCATAACCCTTTGAGACTGTGTAGTCATGAAATCCTGAGTGTTGGTATGATCCCAGTCTCCTCCCCACGCAGTTCCGTTGAGTTTATCTCTCCCATGCAACGCGTCCAAACCGAAAGTAACGATAGCTCTGCAGAATTAGAGTTAAGTCAATGTGGATTATGCTCTGCATAGAACCATACTGAGGTATATACTTACCCGGTTGCGTGAAAGAAACGGTTAAGTTCGTCCCAGCGTTTCATATACAAACATCCTTTATAGAATCCGAACAATCCATCGTCTGTCTTCTCAAACTGAGTGCAAGGAGTCTTCAAGTCTCCTACGTCGTAGATCACTTGATCTTGCAAGGAAGCACCTATTCTTATCCTCAACGTCCTAAAAGCTAACAACAATCAAAATATTTCAGCAAAAAAAAGTCTATGAGAATAGAATATTTCGGTTTGTGATAGATGTCACAAACCTTGAAAAGCTTTAGCAAGAAGAGGAGAAGATAAGTTCTGAATCATTCAAAAGATTAAAGAAAAACGAGAGTTTTTTTTTAGGCATAACTAAGATGAAGTAATTAAGGGTCAAATTAAGCTCAAAGTTGTTTAATATACCAAATTAATGAGAGAAGCGTAACCCCAAGGACACTGATCATAGTTACATTTTTCAGGTGGCCACCAATCAAGCGTTGCGCAGACAAAGTTCTCATCGGTCTCAGCGATTCCATGTCCACCGTCTATAACCAAGGTGGTTCGTTCCATGTTGCTGCCAAAAGTAACAGGAAGTAGAAACAGAGAAATCAAGAACACAACCTTAAAGCCCATTTTGGTTTTGATTGGTTGATCTGTAAGAAAGAAAAATAAAAGAAAAGTGAACTTTTAGAGGGATCAAGATTCCAGTAAAATATCAAGAAGATGGAAAATATAATTCAGAAAAATACAGAAGAGGAAAAGAAGAACTCAAACCTGCTTATCTGAACAAGCAGATGATGATTACAGACAGAAACCAGAACTTAATTATTGTTTAAGAAAAATTCTTTAGAGGTTTAATTTTTAAAATATATATCTTAGAAAATTATTTCAAATTTTGAGTTGAAAAGTAAACCATATCATATATATGTTTTGTAATTATATGTCATTTGATACTTTCGTGAATTTGCAATATAGAAATTCTAATATTTTTGGTGTACGTAATTCAACAATTAGCCGATACTTAATTTGATTAGATTAGTGGTGTGGTGTCAGAGAGGCAAGAGCATTAGTTGACTTTTTGGGTGATTTATAATCATTAATTTTTACTTGAGCTCTTTCTAGGTGGGTCGCTTCGCGCAAGACAACGGGATGGATGCCAACTGGTAAGAATAGCCTTGGTCTGGAGTCCACCGGGTAATTATTTCTAATTCTTAATTCTTTAAATCGGTTTCCATCATGAAGCAAAATATTAATAATCTATGTTTCTCGAAGAGATGATATGAAAATCTGACTTGAGAGAAAAAAGCAGAATCAAAATAAAACTGACCTCAGAATCCAGCAGAATCCATGGACTGAAGTAAGAAATCGGGACTTTTGATTAGTTTGAACTTTGAAGAGTAGCTGGATCTCAAAACAGAGCAGAGAGGTCTTTGTTCTTGGCGTTGACAACACTTCATCAAAGTCTCTTTTAAGTTTCATAAAGCGTGCGTGCGTGCTTAATCTAGTTAAAACGTTTTTACCAAACCGAATCTATAGGCTCTATCTTATACAACACATTAACTAGGTAATGTCCTAATCTTCTAATAGACACACTGATATGGATCTATGATCATGATTTGGAGCGTTGTTATTTTCTCTGTTTTTGATCTTTTCATTATACATACATACATACCATTACATATGATGACATGAAACACTTACA